CTTCGGCCCTTCGAGAGCCTGGGGAGAAGCCAACAGCCATGGCCTGGGGAAGCTGGGCCTCTTCCGGCCTCAGGGCGGCCACCTTTCTTGTCCCCAGGTGACCCAACATTTTTTTTTACCAATATTTCAGCTTGTGGCAGAAGCTGGGGTGGCCCTAGAGAGGGAACCCCAGCCCCACACCACCTTCAAGACCGGCAGGCTCTGAGCACACGTGGGAAGGGCCACCAGTTATTTTCCTACAATTACACTGTTGCTGCTCTTCCCCGTGTCAGGAAAAATGAGTCCATTAAAAAAGTAAGTTAAATAAACTAATGAGCCCAGTGGGCTGAAACCACAGAACAGATCGTACGTTGCTGGAAGTCCTCCCCAGGGGGAAAGGCAGAAGAAATATGTTGAACACGGTGCTATCTTGGGCTGGTCTGTGAAGAAAGCTCTTAGAAGAAAAGGGAACAAGGGAAACTACAGCAGGCCTCATTCTTCACATTTCCCACTAGCCAGCACCCTAGTGGCAGGACCATCAATATAACTTTTGGGTGTCTGGAGTCCGGCCAAGAAGGGCAAAGCCTCCGCACACAGCAAAGCACAGAACAGCTACTCTGCAGTGCTGCTGGTGGCACGGGGGCAAATCATGGCGGATTTCTCTGCAGCCCCAATTTCTCCAATTTATTACTTGATGTTTTGAGAAATTTCCTCCTGATCCTGGTCTTGCGGAGTCACAGGGGCTCACTGCCCACCCTGAATAATTGTTTTTCTTGGTTCACTTAGCTCTAGCCTGGTGATATTCCTACCCATCATATCTGTCACATTCAGGTGTCAAAGCAGGAAGCCAAACATCTCAGTCATGATCCTTCTGGGCTGGCATTCTTCCCAGGCCTGAGCAGAGCCCAGGACCCAGCACAGTAGGGAGAAGCCAGCGTAACCTCATGGGGCCACTGTGGGGTGGGGCCTGGCATCTCCCCTCCCTGACACTCCCTCTCCCCATCCTTGTGTGCAGTCAACCAACATGCAGGCACATGAGCATGTGCACACACACGCACACAATGCACACATGTGCACATGTGTACACATAAGCCACACACCACATGTGCATGTGCACTCATGGACATACGCAAGGGTACACACTGGCCCATACACATGCACATGTGTGTGCACACATGCACATACAAACCTACAATATGCACACACACACATGTACACACACCCCACACACACTTCTGCTGCTCCCTATTCTAAATCAGTCCTGACAAATCTACACACTGTTCCAACTTGGAACTGACCCCACAGTAAAGCTACTTGATTTTTGTTCCAACCCGGAACAGACCCCACAATAAGGTCCCCAACTTCACCCAGTGAGTGTAGGGATGCATCCCCTCCAGTACAGAGAAGTCCAGCACTTACTCCCCGGTGAGCAGCAGGCATGACTGGGCCTTTTTCCAAGCATTAGGGCTACTTGATTTTGTCCCCCTGGGTTTAGCATGTGTTGAATAAATGAACTGATGCAGTTGCACAAACTTCAGTGAGTCCTTCAACCTTCTGTACTTCAGTTCCTCCATCTGTAAACAGGAGAGTGACACCCACCTCAGAGAGCCATGTGGATGAGGGAACGTGGCTGGCAAGCTCTCACCAATATCTGTGCCTACAGCTGAGCCCACGGCTGTCTATTGATGCCTCAATACTCATAAGGTCTTTATTGACAACACGTGCCAGGAACCAGGGGATGCAAGAGAAATGCAGGCATGGGGTCAAGGCACTGTCACATAAGGAGCGAGTGGCCACTGTAATGATGGGACAGTGGGCACAGCAGCCAGCCACAGGGCACCGGCTACCCATAAACTTGAAGGAGCAAGGGCCTGGCTTGTCCCCAGGCAGGACCCAAGAACGAGGCCACCGCTCTCCAGGTCCCAAGGCCAGCTGCCTCCCCTCCTCCTTTACTTACTGCTCAGACCCCCTCTCTTGCCCCACCCCCCTCCTTCAAGTCCGTAGTCAGAGGGCGTGGAAGCAAGGAAAACAAACTAATTTAAGAGACACCACCCAGCCAAACCCCCAGCAAAAATTCTAAGCGGAAACAGGTCCAGATTTGATGGGGTCTGAATCTTACACAACTCGGGAGATGCTCCTCAAGAAAAAGGTCACAAGGTGACACATACGAAATGAAGGATGACTAGGGATATTATTTATAATGAGAAGAGAAATGGCAACAAATCACTGGAGTGAGACATCTTGAGTCAAGGGCCGTCAATGCTCACGCAGACAAGCTTCCTGACTGCAGAGGGGCCTCCCTCCGCATGCACAGCCCTGCAGCTCCGGCACGCTGCCTAGGATGGGCGGTGCTCATTGGCAGCATGCTTGGTTTCCGCAGCCGGCAAGGTAACCCACTCTGATGATCTGATTGAGTATAACTTTTAGAGTAAAGAGAGTAAAATTCTTAGCCTACAAGGCCCAGGACAATAACTCATTCATCTAAAAACTACACAGAAATAGCCTATCATGACTTTACTCTACCTGATATAAATATACTGTGTGTGAAAAAAATCCCATATTATAATTTGGACTATCCCAAGCCACATCCCCGTTGACCCTGGCCTAGCCCACTGCAGGTGCCCTCTAACTGCCCTCCCAGCTCCCTGCTCAGCCGCAGCTGTCACCCATCCACCCGTTCTATATGCACCAGTTATTTTTTAAAACTCTTAACTAATGGAATTCAAGGGAAAAAATAATAAAGTAGAGCTGAACTTCAGTATCAAAAGCCTTACAGCTAAGAATAACCACCACCCGTCATTTTGCTGGGTCATTAGTTTAAGGTCTCAGATTTTCTACAGTGATTTAGAACCCTAACCTGACAATTCCATAACAGGAGCGTTGATAAATGAATGACAAATTTGGGTCAAGCAAAGGATATCTTTGGGATTCTGCATTTTGATAATCACATACCTGTCATTGATCTCTACATGTATCAAAATTATAATAATAATAATGCCAACTGGCATGGGGAAATGAAAAGGAAATGACACTGACCCCACCTCACAGCTCATGGAAAGTTTTCAGATTCTCTGTACCTGAGTTGGTTAAGAACCTTCTAAGTCCATGTGTTTCAAACTGAAGAGCCTGTATCAGTCTTGGGGATGAGAAGGCTAGTCTGAGAATATTTTCCTATTTTGTGTCTTCATTTTGAAAAACTTAAAAAATAATACATTGCCTGGATCAGATGATACACGTGAGTGTTCCGTAAGTCCTGCTGTGCTGTTTCAGAGCTTAAGTTCATGTCTGTGTTTAGAAGCCCAGGGATCACCTCCAACTGCTTAACCTTTAAAATGCTGGTAGGCACCTCAGGCTGCCTTTAGGTTGCAATGTCCTCATGTCAGAACCCCATAGTCTTCCAACTGAACTTCTGTTGAGTTCTTTTTTTTTAATTTTAAACCGAGTTGTAAAATAAAATTGCTGTTTGGATGTGATCATTTATGATCAAAAAGCATTTCTCAAATACTAAAAGTTTGGTTTCTCAAATTATTCAATAGATTTCATTTGCCATCATGAAATCCAACAGCATGTGGAGCAGTACACAATGTCTCAGAGAGAGAGCATGGGACAGTGGCTAAAAGTGTGGGCTCTAGAGCAATGATACCTGAGTTCAAATCCTAGCACTGCCACATGTTAACTGCAGGGTTGTGTGTAAGTTACTTAACCTGTCTATGTCTCAGTTTTCTTGAATGTAAAATGAGCACAATCTACTTGTGGCAAACATTACTTTAAGCAAGATTTCTAGTTCTCTATTTCCAAGTACATGGGTACAAAGGGTTGAAGTGAGGTACATTGGCCAATGAAATATTTGTGGAAGCGAAGTGAGTGACAGAGGGAGAAATATTCAAGAGTTGGTGCATAGTTCTCCAAATTTTCTTCCCCTAGAGAGACAATCATCAAATCTCAAGTTGATTTGGAGGTGTCATAAGATGGAAATTGAGCCTCCATAAATGACTTGACATGTAAAGGAAATAGATACTTGCTGAGTTAAAGACACTGAGATTTGGGTGTTGCTTGATATCATAGCCATAAGCTAAGCTGCTCTGACTGTACATTTCCCCACAGGCTGTTGTGAGATGAATGAGTTAGTGTGCATAAACATTTAAAACATACCTAGCACAGGAAAGCTAAATAAACGTTTGCTAAAATTACTCTATTGCAGTTATTCTAACATGAATATTTTTCACATTTTCATATCTCATAATCTATGGTATTTCCAATCTTAATAGGCAGCATTGTTTCTTTCTTAATGGTCCACAAAATAATGGTGCATCTTAGATCCTTTGATAGAAAATGTTATTATGATGATGACATTAGGGGCTAGTTAATAAAGACCAGACGCCACAGCCTTAATATGTAAGCATTGCATTCCCACCTCATGCTGCAAAGGTTCTGCACTAGTTTGAGCAGAGGACAGTGAGGGAGAATGGAATCATCATACGGAACACAGCAGTGGCACATGCTTGTTAGAGCAGAGTAACCATCTTTATATCTGCAGCAGATATATTATTCGGGCTCAATCTTCATACATCTGCCAACAATTCATCAGTAGTGAGTATAACAGTAAATACACAAGAAAGAACTTTTGGTCAGGGTTTTTTAAAAATTGTTTGGTACTATATTTGGGATTCACTAATAAATTAATTCACCTCTCAGAATAATAGATTGACACTTAAATTAAATTCATTGGGGTTTTTTTCCCAGCAAAACTTTAGTCATCACAATAAATTAACACTAATCTGAATTTTGTTTTTATAATTTTCTGTGTTGAATGTATAAACTTGTCTTAGTTGTATAGTTGTGTAAGAACTAGAAGTGTAAGATTTTCTTTAATTTTATATTTGTACATATTAATGTAATGAAATAAAAAACATAATCAAATAAAAAAGGTTTATACAATATTTAATTTTGGGAAACACTGGTTCAAACTATGCCTTTGGCCAGTTTGTACATAGTTGAAACTATGTACAGTTAGCTTAGTTTTTCTGAAAACACTCCTAAAACATTCTCTGTGAAAGAAGTCCTCACAGATGTGCAAAGCAGAAGAAACCCCAATCTGACAGCCAGCCTGCGAGTTGAACAATGTCTACATCCTCATGCTCGGTCTGCAGCCTCGCGGGAGATGCCCAGGGTTTTCATGTCTTCTCAGTCTCAACAGGCAATGTTAGCAGCCAGTTGGGTCAGGTGGGAATCAGGAGACGCTAGAGCACATGCCTGACAGTGGGTTCTGGGAATGCAGTCCTCGCTTCAAGGAAAAGAGAGATGGTGCGACATTAGCTATTCTCCTGCCCAGGGTGCCACTGGCATGGGCACAGCCTCCACCCGCCACACTGCCCAGGCAGGCAGGCATGACTGGTCTGCACACCTGCCGAGGCCCCCCGTCAGCACTCCTGCAGGGGCTGCCAGCAACCGCCACACTATTGTCACTACGTGGAGCCCCACCCACACCATCTATGGGGCTATATCACCACTGACACCTGCCCCCACCTCCACCAAACCCCACCATAGATTTCACCCAGCTGGTTTTATAATGAATAGCAAGGAAACTGATATTCTTTTGGCTTCTTGGTGGACATCTAGACCTCAACTGAGTTCCTTAATGAGTAATTTATGATTTGGAAACCCTGATCAGAAATCGAATCATGTTGACTTCTTGGGAAGATGTACTATGCAAGGTGAAAAATCATTCCAATTTGATTATCTGACTCTGTTCCTACATATAGGTTAAAAAAAAGACTCTTAAACAAAAAAACCTTAGACACAAAAGTCTCTTTGTTTGAGAATTTGACTTGTCTTCTCCCAGATGTACAGCTTTGTCGATAATGGAGCTGTAACTGGCCAGAGCATGCCAGTGCTATCATCCCACAGAAGACACAACGGGACTCAGAGTGAGGCAGTCACTTTTCTGAGGCTGCACATTTAATAAGCAGCCAGCTAGGCAGAAACAGAGCTCCTAACCCAGTGCAGGGCTCTTTTCTGACCTGCAGAAAATATGATATACCGTTTCATTTCACTTCCCCCTCACCAGCCCTGGTTCCCAACCACGGCACCCATCCATGATCAAGAGGGCATCATGTGTGGCCCAGCTTTTGGTCACTTGATGCACCCAAGCAAACCCACGATTTGGCAGAGTCATTCTGATGCGCACTGAGCTGAACAGTGGTGGGGCCACAGAGAACAAGGGCACATATGGCTTGGGGCATGTGACCAAGCCCAAACTAAGAAAAGTAGTGGGTTCATTGAAACACTCCCTGGGAACATGTAAGAACAGGGTTAGGTCTGTTGTGGGTTTTATCGTGTCCCCAAAAGATATGGTGAAGCCCTAACCCCCAGCACCCATGAATGTGACCTTATTTAGTAATAGGGCCTTTGCAGATTTGATCAAGTGACAGAGGTTTATGGGTCCTGATCCCGTAAGACTGGGGTCCACAAACGGAGAGGAAGAGACACAGAGACATGTGATATGAAAACCCCAGGAGAAGGCATGTGAGGACAGAGGTGGAGACCGGGGTCTGTGTCTGCCAGCCAGGGGTCACCAAGGACTGCTGGCAACCACCAGAAGCAAGGCTACCAAATGTCTCCCAAGTAAATACCATAGCATCAGTTCTTTTGCTGTAAATCACAAGTCCTCTTAGTATATAAACATATTTGAAATTAATGACTGTTGTGCACTGGCTTTTAAGCTCTGTTTTTATTTTGCAGCATCATTAGAGATAACCTTTCCTCAGTCCAGCATACCCAGGAGCTCACAGGCATCCTGGGCTTATCCAAACAGTAAGCTCACTAACCAGGGAAGGATGCACCCAGCAGTTTGCAAGCCAAAACCTGTAAGTGGCAGCAATGCCATGCTGACCTTGAGCAAACGCTGACACCACTGGCTTCAGGGAGTCCTCCTGGAGATACTCGGACGCTGAAGACTTTGACAGATGCTAAACGCAAGTAGGTCTGTAAGCAAGTGATGGGATGGGTGATGAGGGCGCTGGCTCCACTGGGTGCCACCCCCACAGTTGGGTGCCCGCTCCTGAGTCTTCCGGGTGCCCATAACCCCTGGGGCCCTGGGCATGCTCACCATCCCCCACCCCAGGCATGAGAGGCCCCGACCTGCTCCCCACACGCGGGATGTTGACTCCACCCCGTCTCCACCCCAGGGCACCTGCTTCTCCCTCCAGCTCTGTGCTTATTCCCAGGAACCAGAGCTTTCTGGTCCCTAGATGCACCTCAGCTCAGGCAGCTATGCAGCCCGCAAGGAAGAGGATGAGGAGAAAGGGGGGCATGGGGGACAGGCACAGAGGGGCAGTGAGTGGGGGAGGAGGAGGGAAATCTCACTGAATAGATGGGAAGGGGAGAGGGGAGAGGGGAGGGCAAAAGGGGGCTATGGGGGTGGGGAGTTGTGGGGCTACTGAAAATGGGTCTGCCCAATTCAATGCCGCCCCTCATGGCTCAGAGGAGGCCACAGGCTACACAGGGATGGGGCTCCCATTCTCTCCCGACTTAGGTATAAAACAAGGTGGCGAAGGGCACTTGGGCCAAGAGTCGTGTGGGTCGTCCGGGAGGGATGTTCTCAGAGAATCACCTGGGGAGGTTGAGGAAGGGCCGTGGACCTTGGAGGACCCAGCGAGGCAGGCGCTCCACCCTGAGCCGGCCTGGGGAACGGCCTTCACTCCAGCGCCGCCGCCTGAGGCCAGCCCAGGGCTTAGGGCTCTGCATCTCTCACGCCCACAGCCCCCCATGTGACAGCTCCCCTGAGCAGCCACACGGGGAAACATGGAAGTAAGGTCTCCTTCCTCACAGGCTTCCACCGCTCAAGTTCTCCTGACCCCAGACAGGCCTCCTGCACCCACAAAGAGCACCACTGCTGGGAGGCTCAGAGAACACTAGTATGTTCTCCAAAATCCAATGTCTGAGACCAAAGAGCAACAGGCCCTGAAAGAAAGAGGTCGTGGACAGCTCGGGAGGCTGAGAATACCCACCGAAGCCTGCATGCCTTCTAACCCCCCGGAAAAAAGTCAAGAAGCAGCTTTGTCTCCTACACGCCCCCAGGTGGCCCCCCGGTGGGACCCTCTCCCCACCATCCCTTCAGGTCACCGCCGTGTCGGCAGGTTGCCTGTACCCGCGAGGAGGTCCCTGTACATGGAGCCTGCGTCTTCTCTGTTTTCTCCACGACATTTGGGTTTCTGCACATAGTAGGCGCTCAAAGACCTGCCAAACTGGACCCGAGCACCCTGAACAGAGCCGGCTGGAACCCTGGTCCTGACCTCGTCGGGGCGGCTGAAGAACTGGCTGCTGGGTCCCTGACAGTCTCATTTTTCCCTCGGCCCAGGCCTCGCGTTCCGCAGGGAGGTCTTAGCACGGGAAGCGCTTTCCCTTCTCCGTCGCCAGGCACACAGGGCGGGGCGGGCACGGGGGCGGCGGCTCCGGTGACTCGCCCGGGTCTGTGCTTGTGTGCAGCTGGGGGAGGAAATGCAAGCCCAGCGTCGGCCTCAGCTGCAGGTGGGCCGGAGCGCCTAGGAGGGGGCGGCCCGCGGCTGTGCTTCCGGGGTGCTGCAGCAGCCCGGGGTCCTCCCGGCACCCCCACCGCGGCCCCTCCATCTCCAGACTCACGCGGGGCCTTAGAGGGCGTAGTGACGCCGTCGTCATTCACCCTCATCAGCTGCGTCTCAGGCCAGTTCTGACCTATCTTTTTTTTTTTATTTTTACTTCTAAGCTTCACTTTCCTGCCAAGAAAATGAGTTGTGTTTGCTCCACAGATACTACAAAACTCAGAACTGGCAAGTGTAAATGGCTCTAAATTTAGCAAATGTAATTCGCCCGGCCAAGGCGCACTGTGTCTGGTCCCCGCCCTGCCCTGGCCCCCAGGACACCCACCAGCTGGACACCCAGCCTCCCCCGCGGGTCCTTGCCCTTCATGCTCCCCTTGGGCCTAGCAGGGGGGCTGGTAAGAGGGGAGCCCGCTGCACATGTGGGCAGTATCCCCATCCCACTCGCTTGGCAAACTGCAGCCGTGCAGTGGGTGGAGATGAGAAAACATCTGCCTTCCTGAGCTGGATTCAAACTGCGGTGTCCCTGCGAGACTGGAGAGGAGGACAGAGCGTTCTAGTGGGTGGAGACTCCCGCTCAGATGGGTGGTTTGGGAAGTGGATTCGTTCTGGGGGATGGGGCAGAGGCTCTGACAGTGGGTCAGCAGGCCCAGGACCTTTTCCTGGGAAGACTGTTACAACCATTGTTTTTACCTTCAGCATCAGCACTGTATGGAATGCCACCCAAGTGCATGTTTTGTGCATAGCAGGTTGGTAGTTTTTAAAAACACAAGAGGCATTTGAGCCAAGACTCACATAATGCCAAGGAGAGGAGGGTGTGAGGCAGCTTAGTCCTTATACACCCAGTCGATTAAGACTTGGGCGAGACTGGAAAGGGCTGCTGTTTCCACCACGTGCTGCCCTTTCAGGTAACAACTAGTTCTGTCTCATTTCTTGCCCGTCGGGCCATTACCTGCTTCGGACCTCCTCCCAGAGCCCCCGACAGCACCCTCCTGTATCACACAGCACAGGACACGGGGGGCTGGGTGTCAGAAGGGCCTCTAAACTCTAGGATGCTTTCTGAGACACAGGCATACACATGCCTCATGAAGTTAGTAAACATTGGCAGGTAGCAAGGAGCAGCATACATGGTCCCCCAACTTGCTGCTGGATTGGTTAGGGACACTTGGGGCATTTCTCCTCCAGGGAGTAAACTGTGCAGAGGAGAAAAAAAGTATTGTTTTTCTGAGCTGACTGAAGTTTTAATTTAAAAAAAGCTGAAAGCTAGGTTTTTCTAGAAGCAGGAAACAGAACAGGAAGTCCAAGAATATCAGACTGGGAAATGTGGAAGTAAGTAAAACATGGAAGCACCTATGGCTCCCGCCAGGATTGGACTTCTCTGGCGGCGCTTATGATTCCAGGTGGTTCCACCTCCAGTCATCCCTCCCATGGGCAGCTGCACATTCCCTGAGGTACTTGTCAGTCATGCAGATTCTGGGGCTGAGAATCCGATGCCATGGGTCTGAGTGCAGGCCGGGACTCGGTGTGCGTGTGCGTGTGTTGATTTCCAGGTGGTCCAGATGCACACCAGGTTTAGTCCCTTCTCCAAACTCAGACTTGCTGATTTTCTTCCCATACATATGAAATGCGAATGTTGGACTTTTGTTATAAAAATGGTTGAAAAATTATTTAAATTCCATGGGGGAAAAGTATCTGGGTAATTTAAATACCAGGTTTACTATGAGCACTATTTTGACACTCACGTTATTTGCCCTATAAGTTTACAAACATTTGGTAAGACTTTCTATAAGACATCATCTATTCATAATCAAATCTTGAAAGGAGAGGGCCCCCATAGCTAATTTGTCTCAAAATCAGCTTTATTTATTTGTGGAAAATGATGACTAAGAGCCAGTGGTTTAGACCAGCCTCCAAAATGCTGCTAAATGTCAACAACCTGTTGCAAGTGTCAGATTTCCCCAACCTCCAGGATGTGTTTGTGCCGTGTGTTGAAGAATTATAAACACCTCAAGTCCAGGAGGTATATTCAGAATGAGAGATTGCAGGCAGACCTTGACGTTCCACACACAGTGGAGAGAATTCCCACTCAGCTCTGCTAGTGCCGCAGGACTTGGTGACCCTGGACTCCAAGGTCTGCTGAGGAAGAGGCCATGGTTGGTGGGGGAATGGAGATTTGGGGGATCATTTTGCCAAGCCAATTCTGTATTCCCTCTGCCTTTCATCCTGCCTGGCTGCAGTCAGAGCCGAAATGGAATGAATTTCCCTGAAGAGAGAGAGAACGCACGTCTCCCATCTGCTGCTGGGGGCTGCACCTTGGTCTCCTCTCCTACAGAAAGAGGGTGAGTGAGCTCATCATGAAGGGAGTTTGCAATGCCAGGCACAGCAAATTGGGGTGTTATTAACAACCGAACAGTTCCTTTGAAGGTTCATGATCAGTTTAAAATGCCAAAGGAGAGGATTTCTATACCTGCTGGCTTCCAGGGGGTCCCAAGTCCTGGGGTGATCCCTCTTCATCAGCCGGCCTCTCTCCTGGTGTCTCCAGCATGGGGTCCCCCCTTGGGCGGAGTCATGTCCTCCCTGCGGGCGCCCCTCACCTGCCCACCTGCTGAAGGACAGGTGGGCCCTGGAGACATTGCACAGGAGCAGCACACAGGACCGCACACCTGTGCTCCTGGGACGATGGACGTTTATCACTCAGCTGAAAGGAAGTCACTCGCACACAGCCAGCTTGGGTGCTCCTCCACCCAGTGTCGGTGAGGTGGTGGGGTGGCAACAGCAGGTCACACACCCAGGGGCTCTGGCGCCGGGGCTCTGGGCACTTCCACACACGCCTTCCTGTGCTACTCCCAGGATGAGAGCCCATCACGCCTAAAAATGATGCATGTCAAGTATTGGGAAAGTGCGAAAAAAAGAGTTGAGTTTAGTTATCCATCAATAAGTAGGCTGATTTTGAGACAAATTAGCTATAGAAGGCTTTTTCCTCTCACAATATGATTATGAATATAAAATGTCATATTACAATCTTATAGAATATTTCTAAATTGGCATGGCATATAAGATGAATCTCAATACTCAGAAAACATTGTATTTAAATAGTGTGGCTTTTTTTTATGATTACTTGTCTATCCTGATACTGAAAGGCCAATGATTCCATTTTATATATATGCGGGGAGGGTGGAATCCAGCAAGTTCTAATGAAAGAGAATGAGAAATCTGGTTTCATAACTTCTAGTCTCAGTAGAGAATGAGCCCCGACTTGCTCGCCAGCATGCCAACACGCCATCTTAGACCTAGGACGCAGGACCCACAACCCTACCAGGTGTGTTGGACAGCGAGAAAGTACACAGTAAAAAGACCCTGGAGGATCCTTCCGGCCCTGCAAGTTCTCCATCCCTCATTGCACGAAGAAAGGGAAGTTCAGCTTTTGGAAGAGCCTTCAAACCACAGAGAGTAAGGCCCCAGTAAAAGTAAAACAGATGTCAGCTCTGGAAAACTAAAGGGATTCATCACCTTGTCCCCCTGTCCTGCCTCCTCCCCTTCCTTCCTGCTTTCTCGGCCTCTTGCCAGCATTATGGGGTAAAGGAAAACCTGCCGTAGCCAATGACACAACCTGTCCCCAGTCTCAGCCACCTTAGCGTAAGGATCTGTTTTGGGTACTGGACATTCTACTCACAGAGAGAGAACAGACCCTTTCTGTTTCTACGATAATGTGCCCTGTGGTGGGTTTTCTATCTCATGAGTAGAGGACAGATTTCCATGATTTCAGCACCGATCTGAATTTCTCAACATGTGGGTGTTGAGAAAGCATAGCTCTGTGTACAAGAGGGGTCCCTTCCTGACCCTGGAACATCTCCATCCCTTAGGAGGCCGTCAGCAGTGACATCCTTAGAGAAAGTATTTTAGAACATATTTCAATATGTTGTTAACATACACGCCCAAAGTCTCCGACTGAACACTTTCATTTTCTATCCAAGACCCTCTTGTCTCAAAAAGTGATAACCTCGTAGAAATGAAAGAGAAAAATCTAAGGGGAAGCTCTGAGCCAGGGACAACATTCTTACAAACAAAAATCTCAGAGCAGAAGAGTTTTACTTCTTTTTGAAATGGAATCACTCCATCACTAGTCAACACTATACCAGTGGTTCCAAATCCCATGTGTTTGACAAATAGTGCAGGTTATTTACATGTCTAGCCTAACCAGGTTTACCTAAGTCACAGGCTACCTACTTGTCTCCCACCAACATTAGGATTTGATTTCTTCCTCTTGTTCTTTGCCTTTGCATCTGGAAAGACTTGGAGTGAGATCCAGTTTGTCCTTCTGCCTGTCCTGTCCTATTTTCCAGAGAAAACATTCTGTATCCCTCCCAGGGCCACCCCCCACCACCCACCAAGGATTAGCCTCTGCCCAGGAGTCTGTATCTTGTCCTGTGCTGAGATGTTCCTCACGCCTTCCAGCAGCAGGTGTGCTGGCCTAAGCTTGCGTGTGAGAATCCGTTTTGCTTGGAGGTCACACTTGTCACAGGCAGGGCCTGCTCTGTGGACACCCCTGAGAAATGCCTTCTCCTCCCTCACGCCTTACTTCTAGCCCTCTGCAAACACTTTCTAAAAATTGCCACCCAACTACAAAAGGCAGCTTTTACTTCTCTCTCTACAAGTTCACAGTGCTTCTTAAGTGCTCCAGCTTAAATTTATCTCTGGCCTCACTGGGGACTCAGATATATAACTCCCGCTCTCTGGCGGTGGGGTTTACAGATGGCTGCTGATGCACCTGAATCCTAGAGTTATGGGAGACAGGAGCAAGTAACATAAAGGATATGGTTAATCCAATTTATGGAAAGAGGAGAGGATGCAGCCCAGGCAAAAGAAAACAGTATTCTTTCCCCATTGAATGTCAAAGTAAATACGAAACTCCTGCAAGCATTTCAGAATTTATAGCCATATGCATGCATGTACATCCCACTTACTCATCACCATGGAACCAGGTACTTTTGACTGACACATTAAATATAATAAAGACACAAAAGAAAGAGAAAATTGCTGAGATACAGCTCTCCTCTGGGTATAGGTGTTTTTCTAGGTGGTGATTTAATGAGTTTAAACTTTAGAGGGATGGTATCTATTCATTGTATCTCCTATCATGCTACCAGCAGACCTTAGCTTAGTGGCTCCTATATGAATGGGGCATCAGAATCTCCTGGAGGCCCGTGAGAACCTGGAAATGTTTTTCTAGGGTGTCTGACTCGGTGGGGCTGTGGTGGGTCCCAGAGCCTGCGCCTCTAATGGGTGTGTGCGTGCTGCTGGCCTGGGGACCATGCCTGGGGACCACACTTGGAGACCTGCTGCTTCACTCAAGCTTTACAACCACAGAGACTTTTGTCTGGAAGGTGAGGCTCCGCTAATAACCATCACATGAGGGCACTTACACAGGCTCTGGTCTTCCTCCTCATGTCGGTGTACAAAACTCCAGAATTCACACTAACAATACAGCGTTCCAGCCGAGGAAAATGTTATCCTGACAACATTCTAGATGATCTCAAATAGACTGCTAGAAATGTAATGTAGGATTAACAAGAGAGTTTCACACGTTAATTAAACACCAACTGATTACTAAAGGCGGGCCCACTGAGGATTAACTATGTACTAGACGCGGACTCATGACAAAACTGCTAAGTCTAGTACTTAACAAATAACAACAAGCTACCTCATTAGAGGAAGATCAAATGACTATGGAAGAGCAATTTTTATGTGTGAGTATATTTCATTGTTAGATTCGCTGATGCATGGCAGCAAATAGACTTAGCTTGAGATAAAATTTTCAAACTCTTGTCCTGTTCCTGCCTCATTTATTAAGTTCCTTAAGCCCCAGTCACTTGGACTGACTTGTGCAATGTGCACACAAATCCTAACGCGAGGTGCACACAAACCTAACCGTGATTTCTTGCCTCAGTACACAGAAGTGTAACAACAACAAAATACTAGAACCATCTACTGGGTCGACTCTGCTTCATGTGCCACTAGGAACAGGGACTGTACCAGCCATTTTCCAATAAGTGGAATCAGGGCTCAGACTGGGGGCTTAACCAAGACCACACATGAGTCGGTGGCAGAGTTAAGGTGAAGCCCGGTTGAAGACCACAAAGTTCTATGCTTGGTCACTAAAGCTATGTTGAACATTGGACAATTTGTAGAGTCTATAAAATCTTGACAATTTGTATGTGGTACACAAAAGAACAATTTCATCTGGCACATTAAAAGATTATTATTTAAATGTTGACAAAAAGAACAAAGCTGAGTTTCAGTGAAGTAGAGGGATTTGCAGAGGCCCCTCGAAACTCTGATTTCCTTCGGGTGATTTATTAGTATTCTTCATTCAGTAAGTTGAGAGGTATTTACTAAATATCTGCTATGTGCTGATACAACATTTGCTGATAATTTCTACGTTTGGTCAACGTGAATGACGAGGTAGCATGGAAGATTGAAGAGGCCGTAATTCTTTGACATGCCTCCCATGGGCAGAGGGCACGGTTTCTCCTCCCCTAGGCTCTAGCTAGTCTGCGATGCTTCGCCTGATAAGGTAAGGAGGAAAGGACGCTGGGCCAGTTCTGGGCATGGCCTTCAAAAGGACTGTTGCCTCCCACATGGTCTTCTGGAGTCCTGGGCTGCCATGTAAAAGTCAACACCCTTAGAGGACTTACGAGAGGACCCTGAGATGACATAATCCCTGCAAGGGAATCAGGCTTATGGAGGAACCCTTTGTGAACCCCCCAGGCCAGCCTCACTACTCGCTGAGTAACGCCAGGAAACACCAGTCAGTGCGATGTGGAATGGAAGACACTACTCAGATTCCTCAATTCCAAACTATGGAAAGTAATGCAATTGTTTTTGTTGGAAGTCACTAAGTTTTTGGTTAGCTTCTTACGCAGCAAGAGGCAACCAGAAAAGAAAAGATCTTATTACCATAACAAAAATTACAACATGCAGATTTGAGTTTGGGACCTGGTAGTGGACAGAGGTCTGAAAGGCTTCAAAGCCATTTTTAGTCAAAGTTTAGAAGGGCAGTGAGGAATTGTTGGTGGAGGCTGGGGAAAAGATGACCTGTGTTCTTTGGGGCAGGCTTAATGAAACCAGCCCTCACAGTAGCATGGACACTGGAAGGTATGTCTATAAATACCTGAATCTGGCTGAGGAGCTCTCCACGTAGCCTACAGATCTCTTCTTCTGACTGCAAACAATAAAAGTCAAGAAGATAAAGATGAACCAAAGAAGGAACTGTTCATTTCTTTTAGCAGAAATAGAGGAACCGTGGAGGAGCCAGGGCTTACTGGATTTGAAAATAAAACATTTTCTTTTCTTTAATCTCTCCCAGAGAAAGAGTCTCACAGGAAAAAAAAAAGGCTTCAGGACAGAGATCAAATCCAGGGAGTCAGTGCAAGAGTCTTTGTTAGACCTCAGCAGACCTAAGGCCATGTCTCATAGGGCATTTCAGATAGACATGCGTCCAACTAAGCATGTCCAAGGGGGTTCTTACAGACCTTCTCTATTTAAAAAGGTGACTTGTAAGAATCTCAAGGGTGTGGCTCCAGAGCAGCCTCCAACAGGATCACAGATGAAAAAGGCCCTTCCTGACTCAAGGACAGCTTTGAATGCGGAAAAGGAATGGGGCACAGGAGAGCCCAGCCTTCCTGCTGACCCTTCCAGGCCTCTCACACATGAGTAAAGCCATTTTACACCCTCCAGACCAGGCCACTTGCCCTTTATGGCCACCAAGTGACTCTAGTCAACTCTACATGAAGCAAAGGAATCAGTGAGCCACGGCCTGCCCAAATTCTTGATCCACAAAACCATTAGATAAAATAAAATGGTTGATATTTTAACCCACTAATGTTGGAGGTGACCTGGTATGCATCAAATGATAGCAATTATTATGACATGAACTTTGAAAGAAAATGAAATAAGCACTCCAAAACCAAACAGACCACCTTCTACATGGTCTTCGCTGCAACAGGCTCCATGAGGCATGAACTGCTGCTAACCACCTGAGAACCAGACCCGAGGCATGACCTGCTGCTAACCAACCACCTGATACCCAAACCCAAGGCATGACCTGCTGCTAACCAACCACCTGAGAACCGAGGCATGACCTGCTGCTAACCAACCACCTGATACCCAGACCCGAAGCATGACCTGCTGCTAACCACCTGATAACAGATCTAAGAGGGTCTGGTACTTTCTGCAGCAAAGACTCTGTTGACTCCATCCTCCTTCATGAAACTCCTGTTGACTTGAATGGTACACTGGACATAAAATTCTCTTAGCTCTACTTGTAAATAACTATCACGTGCTTTTTCTATTTTCACTTTGACCACCCTGGTTTGAGCCATTTCATCTCTTGTCTGGGCAGCTGTAATTGCCTTCTAATTAGCATCTCTGCCTCCAGGATATTCTCAACCTCGTGCCAGATTATCTTCCCAAAGTGGAACTCTGATCGTATCCAGCCTCCCTCTAAATGTAAACTATTCACTAGTCAAATACATTATTTACCATTCCCCAGTTATATGCCCCTAGATATTTACACACACCATTCCTTTTTCACAGAATAACATGTTGTCCTTACCCGACATCCATCCTGGCCTTTGAAAATCAGCACCATTCTGACCTAATCTTTAAACCACCACTATAATGCTGTATTCCTCTCTGAGGAGGAATGGACTCAACCCCTTGGCCAAAGCCAGTCTCCCAAATTCTCATGGTTTGGGGACACTAGGTTTGGGGCACATCTGCCCAGTAACTGAGTGATTAATTCATAGATGTGTCCTTTACCAGATTACATGTGTCTCAAAGTTGGGGATGATACCCCACCTATCGGATACACAGAAATGTTAGCCAAATACATTAGGAAAGATGGACCTTGTCCTCAAAATACATTTTGTCCAAAAAAAAAAGAAAAGACTAACACAGTGAACAATTAGAGAACAAAATAGGCAGGATATAATTAACTTCCAAATTACACTGTACAGATTCTAAGTGCATTGGGAGTTTGGAGAAGTGGGAGAGCTATTGCTGAGTGTTGGAATCATCAAGCAAAACTTGAGGGATGAGACAGAATGTGCACTTGTGACTTAAGGGTGGGGAGGAGAGAGGTGGAGAGGAACTGAGCCATTGTGGCCAAAGAAATCAGCATGAGAGGAGACAGGATGAGCATAAACAGGACATATGCACAGAAGAGGGAGAGACAGGCTTTAGGCAGTTCCCTAGGGAATTTATTAATGCAGTTAATTCTCCATGGCCAGGCTCTTCTCCTAATATAAATCTTTATTCTCATGCTAACCATCATCTTTAGATCTTTGGCTATAAAATTATACAAATATTTCTCAGACCAAAAAAACAAAAACCTGAGATATGTAAGGGTAAAATGTTTGAATCTAGCAGTATTTAAGAAAATCAAGGAAAAACTATTACCTTGCACAGTGAAATTTGAGGCAAGTATTTCCCCAACTTGTAAGACTCACGTATAGGCGACATGATACTTCCACAGGCATATCCATCGCAGAGAACACTGAGTCAGAGGCCCTCAGCTCCCCAACCTCTTCTGGGTTTGAACAACCACCATCATTTGTTAAATGAACAAGGAGGGTCCCTGGAAGAAGAGGGCAAGTGCTTGGGATGGAGACCTCCATGCCCACCCATACCAAACTACCAAACTCTGCTTTCCCATGCACACAGGAGGTTATGCTCTCTACCTCTCCTGTAAGGGCAGCTCTGCTATGTACTGCTAGTGAACATCATCTGTGATCTCTGCCACACTGGGCATAGAAGCAGGTGGCACCATGGAAATGCCACACAACAGAAGGAGCTCATATATCTGAGCCACCGCAGGGAGGACCGCTATCCTGAGCTCCCTGCACCTGCACTGCCTGCACATGTGAGAGAAATCGACATGCCTTCTATGCCATGAGATGGGGTGCTTGTCACTGCAGCATGACTTAGCCTATCCTGACTAATCCAGTAAGTACTTAGCTACATATATGTTTTCTAAACAGAGTGGTTTTATCCTCATTTTAGAGACAGTGGAACTGTGACTCAGAGAGCTTGGAGCAAATTGCCCAAGATCCCGTTCCCTAGAATAAAGCAAATCCAAGATATGAAACCAGCTGTCTGAGTCAACCCCAGGTGTTTTTCACATGCGGCATGCTTTCTCCCATGAAAATTAATCTCCCACAGGTCATGGATATTAACAAGAAAGATAGGACACACAATGCAAATACAGGGTATTCAATAAGAGGGTGTCTGTAGGGAAATATCCCTCTGCCTACCTCCCTGCACCCATGACATAAGAACTGCTCACCAGCACTTCCTCCCTCTTGGGAATGTGTGGGGAGAGGCAGCTGCTTTCTCTCCAGCACCTGCCAGCTCTCACACGACAAGGGTAAAGAAGACTCTGCAACAAGCTGGGCAGTCTGACAACTGCTGGCCCTCTTTTCTTGAGAGCTGGGCTTTGGAGGTAAAGGCAGCTGCTCCTCACAGACCCTCTTCTGCTCTCCTCAGCTTCTGTCCAGACACAGGGTCCCTGCAGACTGTAAGGTGGTGTCTCAGGCCGTGCCCATCCTCCAGGCCCGCAAACTAGCTTGAAGGTTCGGTTCAGAGAGGCAGGAGCAGAAAGCTCCTTGCAGCCTCATGCCAAATCCCATTTTATCCAGTTTTTCCAGTAGAGAGCAAATATCACCCCTGCTGAATTCCATCTATCTTTCTCCATTCATTTGGGATTTGAGGGGGTAAGAAAATCGACTCCCTCAAAACCCTCCAACACCATTTTCCTGAAAGAAAGATCAACAAAAACAGTGCTTCATGTGAAGCATCAGCCCATTTCACCAAGAACACAGAAATGCAAGATGTGCCAACAGTTACTCATGTGAAATTCCTTCACTTCCTCTGAACAGGACTCCGAATCTACAGCCCCACCCCGGAATAAATAAAGCTCTGGGCTTAACATTAGTCAACTTGTGTCAGCATTCTGGGCCTCATATTTGTCCTCCCCCTTCTTCTCCAATTCTTCCCAGTGCCAGCAGGGGAAGTGGCTCCCCTCAGGGGCCCCAGGGCTGCGCCCATTGTTACCAAGGCGGACACCAGCCCAGGAAATGGCTCTGACAGCTTAATCACAGCTTCAAAAACAAGCCACAGAGCTGCAGCAGCCTGAGGGACCAGATGGCAGTAATATGTTTTCACAGTTACCTTTAAAAATAAGAGAATGAAGAAACAGACCCTGACCCACGGAGAAGGAGAAAGCAGCCTCTCAGCGTCTGCAGCCTGCCTGATCCCTGGCCGGCCAGGGGGCCGATGTCTCTGTCCAGGGCTGCTGATCCTCCTCTTTCCTGGGTCGTTCTCCCACCTGAAGGAAGGCTCCATGGCTGCCTCTGCCCCAGGCCCGGCCACGTCCATTGTCCTTCCCCACTCTCATCCTGTTGACTGGCTCCTTTCTTCAGCCTACATACTTGCCCTGGTCACTCCCACCCAGGGACAGGACAAGGGAGCGCCTCTTCCTGCCTCCTCTTCCGGGGGCCACTGCTTCACTCTCTCTGGCCAGCTGCTTTGGAGAGCTACCTGCACGCCCGATTCCTACTCCCCTGCCATGCCACACAACCTGCAGGCACCCGCAGCCCTCACTGAACTGTTCTCTCTCCAACCGTCTCTGAAGGTGACCTTTACTGGGTTGCATGGTGTCCCCTGAAAATCCACATCCACACAGAACCTGTACACGTGACCTAATCTGGAAGTAGGGTCTTGGTAGATGTCATCAAGTTAGGATGAGGACATCAGGTTGAGCCCTAATTCCATATGATGAGTGTCCTTATAAGTGGAGACACAGGGAGACAGGGAGAAAGCCTGTGGCAGTGGAGGCAGAGACTGGAGTGATGTGACCACAAGTCACAGGAATGCCAAAGACTGATGGCCACCAACAGAAGCCAGAAGAGGTAAGAAAATGTTCTTCCCTAGAGCCGTTGGAAGGAGCACGGGCCTGCTGAGGCTGTGGCTTTGGACTTTCGGCCTCCGTAACTGGGAGAGAAGACGTATCTCTTGTTTTAAGCCCCCCCAGTTTATGGCCCTTTGTTACAGCAAAGGAATCTTTTACATAATATCTTTCCAGTCCTCACCTGGGCCACCCCTTAGTAGACTCTGGCATTTTTTGCAGCTCCACCCTTCCTGAGAGTCTCCTTACCAGTGGTTTCTGCAGGGGAATTCTCTCGCTCTCCTAACTCTCTGGCCATCCCCTGCCTTTTTCAATGCCAGTTTTCCTTGGGGTTCTATCCTTGCCCCTCCTTCCTTCTCATTCTGCCCTCTTTTCCCAGTGTGTCTGGCTCCTTTCCCTGCCATACACAGGGACCCCTACAGCCACACCTCACCTCCCCCCACGAACTCCAGACCCATGTTTCCAGACTCTTCCCTGCCATTTCCACCACATACAACTCATGGGCTACTCATTCAAAATTAAACTCAGTATTTGCTGTCTTAAATTTTTTCTGAAACAAAATAGGACATTGTCCCATACACACAATACAGATAAATGTATCTCATTGCCCTGCCACCACCCTGCCCAAATTTGTCCCTTTTTTGATACTCCCTGTCAGCTAAAGTCATCAATGGTCATCACATTTTGCCTGTTCTACGTTCAAAATCTTGTTTCATTCACTTCTTCTTTCTATCCCCTGGGTCATTGCTTGGTAGCATATCTTTATCCTCTCTTGAAAACACTGCAGTCCTAACTCTTATTCCATTTACCATTGCTCCTTAACAAACCACCCCAAACGGCATTTTACCACAATCACAGGTTCTGTGGAGCATCAGGTAGGAAGACTCAAAGGCTGGAGAAACTGAACAGCTGGGGACTGCAATCAGCTGGGGGCTCGCTGACTCTGATGCCTGAGGTTGATCCTGGCTGTCAGCAGGACATGGACACCTGGTCTTTCCTATGGCTACTTGGGCTTCCTCACAGCATGCTGGCCTGATGCCAAACATCAGCATATTAAGGAACACTGGAAAAAAGCTGTAGAACCTTCCATTGACTAATCTCATAGTTCATGTGGCGTCACTTCCTCTATAGCTACAAGTCCACCTGATTCAAGGGGAGGGAGCATAGATGTCACCTTTCAATTGCAGAAGTGGCAAAGTAACTTCAAATAAGAGTTTGTGGGCTGGGAGATACAGCGTGTGTTGGAAAGTGCAATCGGCCACAGCTTCCCTACTTAGGGCCTCAGCTCTCAAGCAAATTAACCTCTGACGTGTGGCAAGAGTGTATCTCACCTTTGCTTAAAGACTTTTGATGAATCCCATTTCCTACAAAGAGACTCTAAAGCTTTCCTGTCACCTGGGTTGGGTACTTTGCTATTGGTTTCAACCCTAAATCCACCCTTGTAAACTCTTCTCTGATGCTTGGTTGTGACTCTGTATCCCATATGCCTCAGCCTCCCTTGCCACCGGCCTCCTATTAGGTTCCTCCAAGTCCCTAGAAGACACTAGGAAGAAACTATGTGATAAGCAGTTCAGAGGAGGAGGAATTTGCTCTTTCCTGTCTGCTTCCTGCAGCATCAGTCCAGCAGAAACACTGTGGCCCCGTGGTCACAGCAGGCTCCAGCTTTCAACTCCTATCTTCTCAGAAACAGCCCAGTGGGGTCCCTGAGAGGCCCCAAAGCAGAGCCTGAGACTCACCTTCCTGGAGCCCTTTCTCTAACCTTCTAGGCTCTGAAACCACCCCCCACTCTCCCTGCGCTCCCAGGCCATAGGGCTGTACATCAGAGAGTCTTTCAGGCTCCCTTCTGGCCCTTTCACACCCATTCCTAAGAGACCAGTCCCCTGTATTAAACTCCCTCTCTTGAAACACCTCGTGTGCTTCCTCATTTCCTGACTACACCTTGGCAGATGGAACACATGACCTTTCATTAATGGTATGATCTGCCCTTCACCACCCACATGCCAAGATCCTCCCCAACAAAGCCTTCTACATGCTACAACTACTGTTTCTGGTCTTTCCTTAAACCCTAGGTGTTTTTTATGCTTCATGACTATGCACATGGTAACTTGTAAACTTCATGAAGGAAAGAACTGTGTCTTCACTTTATCTCTCTTCATAGACATACCCCCATTTCCATACCAGTGCCTTGTACAGGGTCTGAACATTAAAAAATGTCGGTTGAACGAACACATAAAGGCATTCATTCATTCCTTATATTCTGGAGAGGTGATGTGTTGAGTGGATTTCTGCCATTGGACACAGACATGTAAGAGACATTGAGAGGTGGGTCTCACCTAAGCCTCACACATCATCAGGCTGCCTCCCATCTGTCTTACAGATTAAGGGAGGTGCAAATACAACCTTAAGGTGTTTTGTATATTAACTAGGGAAGCCCAAGAGGTCAAGGCATAAATCTGAGCCACAAGGATTTTAAAATGCTAATCATAATAGTTATGACATCTGATTATGTATGACACATACTCAACAGCAGCTCTACAAGGACAGCAGGGGAAATTACTATGAGCAGTGTAATGGCTGGTGTAAGTCACAGCATTATGATAGCACTGAGAATTCATCTTCGCCCTTTAGCTGAGGAATCCAAATGCCCCACTACATTTAGCATCCAAACCCTGTAAGAATCCCAGCTCAACTGTTCTCAGACATAATATCTAGGACACAAACTTGAGCAGGTCCTTGGCCCCAGTGGAAGCCTAAAAGAGGCACCCAGCAGGAATGTCTTAGCCTTGGGGAGCGATGAAGAATTGAAGAAGGTTTTCAAATACTTTGAATTGAGTCATCTTACAAATGAGTCATCTTACAAAATCAACATTGCCTTTCATTTAGGTATCTAGAAAAAACAAACAAGCAAACAAAACCATATATAGTTCACAAAATCTTGAAGTTAATTTGCTTTCTGTTTCTTCTCCAAATAGGTGGAGAGGTTCCTTCCCTTAACATGTCCCAGTTTAGGCTTCTTTGGAGACAAGGGACAAAAATTCCTCTTGGTGGAGCAGATAAGGAGGTGTTTGTGTGAGGAGTGAGGAAGGACCACACATGGAGCCCTGGGTTCAACACCGTAATTGGGCAGCTGGACTTGGCTGGAGAAGAAGGGAGACAGGATGCCAAGCAAACCTAAATCATCCCCACAGGACTACGAGTCTTCACTCTAGCACTCCACCAATGATATTTTGGACATATTTATTTTATTTTTTAATATATTATCCATTTAACTCTTGATAGGCAATATATGTACTTGCCATGATTAAGTCAGGAAATTAATCTACCTTGCAGAAACTGATCGGTCAACATGCATTGAATGACTCTTATATGTCATTTTTGGCCATGACCTTGCAAATGCTAAAAAGGACCCATAACTTAAAAAACATAAGTGCATTTAAAAACCAGGGGGACCAAATATTTGACCACAGCACCATGCCTTGACACTCCAACATGTATGACTCTAGCAAATATCAAAACCTGGTCAACTTATTAGGGGTTGTCAAATAAATGGGGATTTGTGGTTTAGGTTTTTTCATTAAGAAATATGCATAACAGTTCGTTGTTTCAAGAATATGTTTATTAAGAAGTGATTATTTACATGAATGTTTTACAATGATATAAAATGTTATTTGAAAGCACATGGATAAAATATGGATATGAATACCAAATATCAATACTTGAGCTGTTTACTGAAAGCATAAAAAAAAATTGTCCTGAATTGACCATATTCTATTCTAGTCAAATCTAGGTAATCATATAACAGTGGAACCTATTTTTATAATTCCAAATAAACATACATAGATGCAGATTTCCATGACAATTTTAGTGTGTCTGGTGACTCTATAGGCAGGCAACTAGTTTATCCAGTTGGCCCATGTTTATAAATGTTATTCAGGAGGCAGACACGCTAGAAGTATACTTGTATACTTTTTTTTAAAGTTTTTTTAGCTACACAGAGAAAATTTTAGACCAAGTTCCCAATATGTAAGCCTTAAACAAAACCAC